TCTTAATCTCAGGAAACAAACTGAGGGTTGCTGGAGTGGAGGGGGGTGGGAGGGACGGGGTGGCTGGGTGATGGACACTGGGGAGGGTATGTGTTATGGTGAGGGCTGTGAATTGTGTAAGACTGATGAATCACAGACCTATACACCTGAAACAAATAACACATTATATGTTAATTTAAAAAATTAAAATAAAAATTGGATTATGGTGATAGTTGTCTAACTAAGTAAATTAAATATCACTGAACTGAGTGAGCACTTAAGATGGGTAAACTTTATATACCTCAATAAACCTGCTTCTTCAAAAAAGAAGCTACAGAAAGTATAAAAGAGTTACCAGGGGCTAGTGAGAAATGGAGTTATTGTTTAGCAGATACAGTTTCTGCGTGACATAATGAAAATTTTCCAGAAATGAATAGTGGTAATAATTGTACAACATGTACTTAATGCTACTGAAATGTACACTGAAAAACAGTTAAAATAGTAAACTTTATATTATGTACATTTAACCACAATTCTTAGAAATAAGGTTTTAGACATGTTGAGTTTGAGACAACTGTGGGACAGTAACAGTGATGTCTAGAAGAATCTGAAGCTCAGAAAAGAGGGTAAAACTGGAGAATGATTTGAGGATACTGAACCATACACAACTTTGAACTTTAGGGATTAACCCACTACCTAATATACAGTGGATGCTCAACAAATAATGTCAGTTGAATTTAAAACAAAAAGAAAGAAAAGAATCCAGTGAGTTTAAAAAAAAAAAAAAAAGAGGGGCGCCTGGGTGGCTCAGTTGGTTAAGCGACTGCCTTCGGCTCAGGTCATGATGCCGGAGTCCTGGGATCGAGTCCCGCATCAGGCTCCCTGCTCAGCGAGGAGCCTGCTTCTCCCTCTGACCCTCCCCCCTCTCATGCTCTCTCTCTATCTCATTCTCTCTCAAATAAATAAATAAAATCTTAAAAAAAAAAAAAAAAAGAAATTTAAAAAAAAAAAGATACTGAAAAAGTCAATTTCCTTATCAGCTGACAATGATACATCTTATGGATGTATTAAGTGCTATATTAAGTAAGCTATCATTATATTTCTCCAACCTATAGACTTCTTAGTACTTTATATATGCAGAAAAGAAAAGCAGTTTCTATGCCTTGGTCTGTTTTTCACGTTAATAAGTTATCATAATAAATCAAGACTTAAGAGTCTTCTCTCTTTATAGGTAAGAAGTAATACCTACCCGAACAGTTACTGTGTGATTGGCAGATGGCCTCAAGAGAGGCAGCCGGATGCCACACCTAGGCATTCTTCTCATCTCCTCAATAGGAGTTCCAAGCCATTTCTTATCTGGAGAAAGGTGAGGTGGAATGTATTTAGGTATCTTCCTTTCTGTTCTTTGATGCTTGATTTCACATTGTTCTTTTCTAAGGTCAAAACAAATGTATTCAGTCACAAACCACTTACTATTTAAGTTTTATTAGATACACAAGGACAAAACTTACCCAGAATGTTATTGTTTAAAACGTGCCAAGGGGCACCTGGGTGGGGGGCTCAGTCACTTAAGTGTCTGCCTTCGGCTCAGGTCATGATCCCAGGATCCTCAGGATTGAGCCCTGCATTGGGCTCCCTGCTCAGCAGGGAGTATGCTTTTCCCTCACCCCCTCCCCCGTTCTAGCACGAGTGCATACACTCACTCTCTCTCTTACACATAAACAAAATCTTTAAAAAAGTGTGCCAGGCTTGCTCTCTCTCGTTGGTATTTACAGTCAAAAGAAAAATTTATAAAACTTAGAGTAAAACTGAAGAACTTATTTTCAAGTCTGTGGAAGGAATTTCTAAACACAGAAATTCCCTTCCAAAAAACAGACCGCATAAGAATATGTACACTGCCAAATGAGTCATGGTTCATAGTATCAGCTACTTCTCAGGTTTCTAGACAACAGTTTTCAACAAAGTGAACTTACTGTGGCACATGTGATAGAAAATATCACAAAAATTATGGAGAGTAAGCTTTAAGATTCCATATGGGATAACTGTAAAAATGTAAGCTTTGTAATCAGACAGACTGGGATTTAAATCCCAGCATTACCACCCACAAGTTACAATTTCAGTGAATTCTCTAACTCAAATTTCAGTTTTCTCATTTGCAAAGTGAGGACAATGTCACTTGCCTACCCATCAGAGCATTAGAGAAAATGCAGTATATGAAGACCTAGAAAAATGGATAAACAGACACTACTATCAACCTAGTATTTTTATATTCTGATAATCCACACAAATTTCAGAAGGAAAATCATGAAACTGAAAAAATCCAATTAACAATATTTATTTATTTCTCGTTTTCTGTTTCTGGTCTTTCTGAATCTAGGTTTAAATTTACCATAAACAAACAACAGGAAACACAACTATTTCTTTGCCTCACTGTAAACCGTAACTTGGTTAAACCATTCCCTTACAAAGTTATAAAAGGTATTACAGTATTGGAGATACTCTTGTTGAAAAAAATTACCTTTTGTCCTCTGCTTTGGGCATTCTCATGAAATGATCTGTGATTTTAGAATCCTTTTTCCCATGCTGCTTGGAATTCCTACATTCTACATTCAGGCTAGAAGTACTTCCAGGTGGTCTGGGACTTAAATCATTCATTCCACTCCGAGTCTCTCCTCCTTCAAATTGAAAATGTAAACGAATTTCACCTCCTTTAGAAGAGGACCGCTTCCTCAATTCAGTGTCAGCTTCTCTTGCTTGGAACCTTGAAGGTTTACTTGCTGTTTGGGAGGAATTGCTATCTTCTTGCTCATCAAAACCTGGACTTGTCTCCTCATCTGCTTCTGAGTCCTGACAACTATTTTTGGAATTATCTACATCCATTGGTGACTCAGGTTCACTTTCTTTTTCAAAAGGAGGAGAATTTCCTAAACTACTCTCTTGTCTACTCAATTTGTTGGCATTTTTCAGTTCAGTACCAACATCCTCAGAGCTGATGTCTGACAAGGGACTCTCTGGCACCACATCTATCTCTTCCTGCTGACAACCTGCACAGTCTTCTACAGGATGGCAAGACTTGCTACACTTCTGGTGGCTTCTGGCTTCTCTGGCCCGTTCATCTTCTGTGGTCTGCTTTGTATTTGTAAACTTTGCAGTTGTCAAAAATTGTTGGTTGTCTCTACTTCCCTCACTATCTGTGTCACTGTGATCATCATTTCCAGGTGACTGATCAACGTTAGCATTACTGAACCGCTCTGGCACCAGAGTTACTGTCGGAGGCTCACTTTCTAAAAGCCGCTCTGTATGTTTCCCTTCATTTTGCCACTTACACATAGCTGCAGTCTGATGCTGGTTCAAATACTGTGTACTTTTTTCAACAGATGATTTATCAAGACTTAGCTGAGAAACATTTTCTAATTTTTCCATATTATGTTGATAAAAGTTATCTTTTTGTACAGAACTCATCATGGATTCTACTGTTGTATTGTTGTTTTCTTTACTATGCAAACTACAACAGAATAGAAAGAACTAATGAGACAACAGAACTTATGATACAATAAAAAGAATTTATGGTATAAAAAAAAATCACTTATCCAATCACATTCCCGGTATCACAGCAATAATTAAACTACTGGTGATTTCCTAAATACAGAGTATGCCCCTTTATGACTCCATGACTTTGCACATATGCCTATAATGTCCTTTCCCCAACTCTGTGCCTGGGAAACACCTGCCCTTCCTTTAAATGTTAAACTTCACTCACCTCTGGGCAGGCCTTCCTGCAAAGGTAAAGCTAATTCTTTGTTCTATATGCTAACCACCACTGTTCTCTGCTTATACCTTTACTGTCCTATTTATCACACTATGTAATAATCATGTGTTTTTGCATCTGCCACCAGTATACTATAAGTATCTTAAAGACAGAGACTATACTCCTCTTTTATCTCTGTATGTCCAGTATATAGGACAGACCCTAGCACATGAGAGACTCTAAAAAATTATCATTTATAAACTGAAAGAATGAATATAAAGAAAAATGGGAAAGCTAGGAGAAAGAGTAGCATGAAACAAGATAAAACATTCATATATCATGTTATTCATTTTTCTATATAGGCATGTTTCTATACCTTTCTGATTCAGTTGTCTTGATTCCTTTAGTGTCCATCCAACTGGTAATAGTCTTTTGTTTGAAAACTGTAAAAAAAAAAAAAAAAAAAGACACACACCAAAACAATTATGTATACTCATACCTGCCTTCAAATATAAAATACCTATAGCAGCATTTATACATGTAAGGCATTGTGCTAGGTTCTGTGAATTTGTTTTCTTTTTTTTAAAGATTTTATTTATTTATTTGACAGAGAGAAACACAGCGAGAGCAGGAACACAAGCAGGGGCAGAGGGAGACAGAGAAGCAGGCTTCCCGCTGAGCAGGGAGCCCAATGCGGGGCTCGAACCCAGGACCCTGGGATCATGACCCGAGCCAAAGGCAGATGCTCAACGACTGAGCCACCCAGGCGCCCCTAGGTTCTGTGAATTAAACAGATACTAATCACTCCTTCCACACTCAAGCAATGGGAGATAAGACAGAAATATAAATATAAATGCATTTGGCATAGAGTAGAAAGTGACAGGCCCAAGAGAGCTGGTATGGCCTAATGGATGAGAGTATAGGCTCTGAAATCAAATCACCTGGATTCCAATCCTAGTTCTCCCATTGGATTCCTATGTGTCCTTGTGAGGGATCATTTTTCTGTCTCTCAAATTACTTATTTATAAACTTGCAAATTAATAGTACCTCTCCTGGGCTTATTATGAGGTTTAAATTAAATAACACATGCAAGGTGTTTAAGGCACAATCTGGTACATGCTCAGTAAATGTCGATTCTTAACTACCTTTAGTATTAAAAGAGATCCTGATAAAGAATTAAGGTATTTCCTAGAAAAGACTACTTTAGGGAACTGGAGTAAGTGGGACAATCTGATAAGAAGGGCTTGAATTGTTCCTTGAAGAATAAACATGTAGTCACATAAAGGGAAAATCATAAGCAAAGGCACCAATGCCAGGGAAATATAAAGAACTTAAAAAGAAAGCAACAGAAAATATGATTGAAAAGTCAGCTAGGGGGCGCCTGGGTGGCTCAGTTGGTTAAGCGACTGCCTTCGGCTCAGGTCATGATCCTGGAGTCCCGGGATTGAGTCCCCCATCGGGCTCCCTGCTCAGCAGGGAGTCTGCTTCTCCCTCTGACCCTCCTCCCTCTCATGCTCTCTGTCTCTCATTCTCTCTCTCAAATAAATAAATAAAATCTTTAAAAAAAAAAAAAAAGAAAAGTCAGCTAGGACCATATCATAGAAGTTCTTGAATGACCCACAAAAAGAGGTACAAACGGGGCGCCTAGGTGGCTCAGATGGTTAAGCGTCTGCCTTTGGCTCAGGTCGTGACCCCAGGGTCCTGGGATGGAGCCCCAACTTCAGCCTCCCTGCTCAGCAGGGAGCCTGCTTCTCCCTCTCCTTCTACTGTTCCCCCTGCTTGTGCTCTCTCACCCTCTCTGTCAAATAAATAAATAAAATCTTTTAAAAAGGGGGGGGTGCCTGGGTGGCTCAGTCATTGAGCGTCTGCCTTCGGCTCATGATCCCAGGGTCCTGGGATCGAGCCCCGCATCGGGCTCCCTGCTCCGCAGGAAGCCTGCTTCTCCTTCTCCCACTCCCCCTGCTTGTGTTCCCTCTCTCATTCTCTCTCTCTCTGTCAAATAAATAAATAAAATCTTTTATAAAAAAAAACATTCCTCAGTCCTTCTGAGAGCCCTACTTCTCTTTCCAATACCACTACTTCTGGCTTTCAAAGGTTTCTTTTGCAACATGCCACAGGACTGCTTCAGATTTTACCCCCTTATTCCTGAAATAGGCATAAAATTATGCTTCCCAAAATATCTGGTAGTTTCTTTCTTTTTACTAGAAATAATTCCAGGAAACAAAAAGGAGGGCAGTGGGAGGTGATGAAAACGATACAAGATCTGGAGTCAAACAAGATCTTGGACTAAGATCTTTGCTCAGTCGCTTACTAGTACTTCACTTCGTTGAGCTTCTATTTCCTCACCTATAAAATAGGGTTAACAGTAAATATCTACTTCAAGGCTTAGGTAGATCAATGAGAGAAAATACTAAGTGTCCAGTCTTCACAAAGCAGAAATTCAACAAATGTCTTCTCTTGCAACACTTCCACCCAATCTCTTTTTCACTGAGATCAGTCCTCCAACTTTATTCTGATTTCACACCATTCACACTTAATCTCATTAGTTATCATCACTCAGTAACCAGTGTATTTCAATGTTCAACGAGCAAATCAATTAGATGCTGCTACTGACACAAGCAAAAGATACAAAATGCTTTGAAATTCACCTGCATTTCAAAGGAACACCCCACCTCCACAAAAAGTCCCCTTCCTCCAGCACCAGCAAGATAAGGTATGAGAAGGAAGGATATGGTGAGACAAAAGAGTGATGGACAGTGGGAGTTTTGAGAGGAAAGAGGTCTGAAGATGATTCTGACAGCACTGAGGCTGAAGGAATGACATGGGGGAAGGGAGACAAACCGGCTCCAACTGCCCCCCCCACCCCAACCACCACCACCCACCACTGACCTATACTTAGACCATGGCTGGAGCAGGAAGAGAAACTCTAGGTAGTTATAAAAGGCAGAAAAGAGGAGCTCCCATCAGAAGGTGAATAGCACCCTGAGTTCTGCCTACATGCACATTTCAACCAATATAAGAAATATGCCCAGGGAGGTAAATAACACAAAATTTAAAGATGTTGAATGAATATCCATTTCCTTTTCTTACCTACTCTCCTAAAATAACTGTATACTAAAATTTTAAATACCAAGTTCCTAAAAGACCTCCAAATTTGAAACAATAGTTTTTGTTTGGACTTTCCACATTTTATTAATTGGTGGCCTGTGCCCGGTATACAAAAACATTTATACATATAAAGTACAGCCCAAGTAGTAATTTGGTTCCTCTTCTGCAGAAATCTGCAGAAAATAAGAAGATCCAACCATGAGGACTGCCCCCCCCACTTGCAACTAACTCTTCCACCTTTATATGTAAATAAAGTTAATGGGCCCACAAATTAGGGTCTCGCAGAAGTCTGACACAGTACTTGGAGGTCACCTCAGTTCTCCCTCCTCCTTCATCAAGTTCTCTGTAATCTATGGCCTAAATCTTAAATCCATTACTTCCTCTTCATCTTCAAAACAGCATCAATATCAAAAGAACAAATACACCACTTTTTGGACAACTGCATTTGTTTCCTGCAACTGGTCTCCTTGTCTGGTCTTGATTTTCTCTAACCCAGTGTTATATAAAGGACTAACTTTTTTTAGTAAAATACAGACAATATAAGAATGCATCATACATAATAGGTATTATTTCATGAAACATGTTTGTAATAAATATGGCATATTTACCTAGTTCATAGATTTCTTACTCCGTGTACCGGCCGAAATTTATACAGTGGACTGCAATCAGAGAAGTCCAAAGGCCACAAGCCATCTTTTCTAAAATATAACCAAATGTTATCTCCCTTTTAAAAGCTTTCAGTGGCTCCCCATTAACCACAGAATAAAGTCCAAACTCCTTGAAATGGCAGTAGAATTTGTCCATAATAACTTCTGCCCTTCTTCCTGGCCTCAAGTCCTGTCACTCCTGTCATTTTATGCTCCAGTTCTACCACCTTTGCACATGCCATTCTCTCTGCATATTTAATTACTTCTCTCCTTTATCTATACAGCAAATCCTGCTCATCCTTCAGTATTTAGTTGAGGTCTACTCCCCACTGCCTCTAAGTCCTGAGAGAACTAAGTTTACACCATTAACCCAAAGACTGTCTGACCTCTGGCCAGCCTCTTACACTGTTGACAAATGCATCCTTTTGGAAATGTTCTCTTTCTTGCATGACACAACAAAAGCCAGGCTTTCATCCTACTCTTCTGGCTGCTTCTCTTCAGTCTACTCTTAGATGATGGTGTTCCTAAAGTTTCTGTCCTAGGTCACCTTTATTTTCTCTACATGTTTTATGTGATCTAACCTACTTCCATAGCATCGATTATCACGTTTATGCCAAAAATCCCCAGATCTGTATTTCCAGCACAAATTTATTTCTTATGAGGTACAAACCCACAGATCTCATTCTCTCTGAATCCATCCACTTCTCTCCTTCCCTACTGTCCACAACCAAGTATAAACCATTATTATCGCCCACCTAGACTAACTCCTCTAGTCTTAGGCCTGCACTTCCCCTCCCTTTCAATCCATTCTTCATTTTCTACACACCAGCCAGAGACCTTAAAAAAAAAAAAAGATGTGTGTGCATGCACGTATATATAAAGTCACTTCCCTACTGAAAATGCATTAAAAGCTTCTCATTGCCCTTAGAGGTAAAGTTCAAAACCCTCAGCACTGCCTATATTTCCCAGTATGATCTGATCTTTGCCTATCTCCCTGCAGCCCCATCTCTCATTACTCTCTCCTGTTGACAGTATGCACCAGCTGCACTTCAGGAACATTTCCTACTTCCTCTTTTCTAGCTAACTCTTCATCCTTTTTCAGTCCTTAAAATAAGCACCTCATCTTCTGGGAGATTATCTTTGATCCCACAGACTGGATTAAGACTCCTGACTCCTACCATAATGATGTATGTCCTTCACCTGTAAGCATGTGGACTTTTGTAATTCTCTCTCCTGATAGATTTTAAGATCTGAAGACAGAACCCAAGTTACTCTTGTTCAACACTGTATGCCAGAAACAAGCACAATGCCAGCTAATACTAACAGCTCTGCACCCCAGGATGCAGAATCTGAACCAAGAGAAGTTGTGACCTTCTTTGTACCTTTCTTTTCACCTAAAGGTTGAAGCTTCACATACACAATTAGACTTCCTTAACAACTAAGGCAACTTCTCAAACCCGAGGAAAGCAAACAGGTGGAGTCTACTGCCATTTTCCACCTTGTGAGTAACTGCTCATCAGGGTTTCTCACACCACCAATCCCAACGGGTAAAATGCGGCCGCATTCCCCTACCAGTGGCCTTAGTGGCTCAGCAAGAGGGCCTCAGAGTGGTGCACATAAGACCAGAAAGGGGTGGCTGGAGTCCCTGGGTCCCCAGACAGAGACCAAGAAGAGGTCTGGGCCAAAGCGAAGGACAAAGATCTTTATTTCCCCACGTACCAAGCGAGGTGGAGCTGCCTCTGCGCGGTCCCGCCCGCCCCGAGACGCAGCCTGACGAGGACGGTGGGACCCTGAACTGCACGGGAGCGTCCTTGGACTCGAGAACGCGCCTCTGCCTGCCGGGGAAGCTCCGGGCGTCCGAGGCGGCCGGCGGAGAAGTTGCAGCGGCGCCCCAGCGGGGTCGCTTGGTGCAGGGCTCACAGCCGGGGCCCGCACTCATGCTTGGGACCCGCAGCGCAGAGTCCCCGGGCCGGCCCGGGCGGAAAGCCTCATTCACTAACCCTAAGAGGGACGGACTGCGCCGGCTCCTCGGCGCCTCCAGGCACCATTCCCTCTCTGCCGCTGCCTGTTTCTGCAGTTGCTGCTCCGCCGGCCTCCCAGCCAAGCCCTAGCCAGTCGCCTGCCTTCCCTCTTCCACAGGTACCCCCACCTGCCTCAGGATGCGCCGCTTTGATTCTGGCTTGGTTCACTTTCCCACCACCGGAAGGCTGCCGTCAGGCGCTTCCGGTTTCCGGGACGTATAATGTCGCAAAGCGGAAGTGCAAGGATTAGCGGGTACCGGCTCCCGGAAGGTCACCGTGTGAAGGAGGCCTTGGTAACGCGGGTCTCCCCGCTTTTTCTGGGGAGCAACGGCGGAGCCGACGAACCCGGCCTGAGACGGCGGTGAGAAGCAGACCGGCGGTTTGCTGCGACATCATGGAGAGCGGCGGGGGAAGCGGAAACAAAACCACAGGGGGGTTGGCCGGCTTTTTCGGAGCCGGCGGGGCAGGTTACTCGCACGCGGATTTGGCCGGCGTCCCGCGTAAGTATCGGGCCTACCTTGTGAACATTTCTCAGTGGTTCTTGCGACTCCGCCAGACGTGTAGTGTGTACTGTTCTTTTTTTGGCTGGCGTTCACAATCTTCCTTACCAGTGGTTGGGATAGTGTGTTTGCGCTGCCGCTCTTTCAAGATTGAACGACTTTTTGGAGTCATGGATCCTCGAGAAGTTCTGTCCGGGTGACCTGGACTAGGGATGTTGGCCTGTTTTCTTCTCTTTATATACGAGCCTAGTGCCTTGTATTTCCTCCCACACATTCCTTGTGTGTTGGGCTGTGTGCTTGACTCTAGATTAAGAGGAGAGTCTAGCTCTGCAAGTAAATACATTCCAAACAGCCTGTAAATAACTTTTAAGCACAAAGTCACGTGTTTCGAAACTGCAGTGTAGCCGTCAGGGCAAAACATTTAATATTGAAGATAGGCAAGAAAGAAGTTTGAGTCGGGCCAGCGGAGGAGCTGAGAAGTGAACTGTACTTTAAAGGCCATTTATGGACTTGAAAAAAGAAGCCAGGTAAGACTTTTCGGAAAGGAAATATGCAAGATCAAAAGTGCAGAAGCATGTATACCCTGCCTGTGCTCTCTCAATTCTGTGAATATGTCTTCCAGATGTTTGGGACTTTGTGGGTATTCAACTGGATGAATAGAACTTGTTCTTCTCCAGGTCTTTTATGCTCAAGAACAAAACAGCCCTAGTGTCACTTACGTCGAAACTGAATCTGGAACACATTTTACATATAAGTCTTCCGAGGTCTGAGTTTTGGAGCACAAAGGGTAGTGCCTTAATGTGACAAAGCATTGTTACATTAATTTGATTAAGATTTGAAGGTAAATTGAGAAGTCGAGGGTGAACACCATTCACTTAGCACCTGGAATGGGCCAACGACTTTTCTGTGTGCAGGTCTACCAGTGTTTAAAAGAGATGATTGCTGCTTTCATGGAGTTTACATCCTATTGAAGTGAGCCAAGTAACACAAACACATTTCAGTTAATGATAAGCGTATGTAAAGGCATCAAAACAAGATCGAGAGATGGCGATGGGAGCAGAACGCCTTTTTAGAATAGGTCAGGGAAAGCAGCTAGAGGGTGTTGACATTTGAGCTGTGACCTGAATACAATACAAATGCGGGGGCGGGGACACACACGGACGTACACAAGAAAAAATGGTTAGTCCAAATGCCCTGGTGGGGGAAGGGGGGGACTTGACATGTTTAAAGAACAACTGATGGGCCAGTGTGTCTACAAAGTTGCGAGGGAGTTGGAGCAGTAGGAGATAATGAGATCAGGAGAGCAAATCATGGCCACTAATGCAGTGTTTTATAAGCCATGGTAAGGAGTTTGGATTTGATTACAAGTGTGAATGGAAGCCATTAGGACTGATTCCTTTTCCTAAAAAAAAATCACTTTAGTTGCTATATAGGAAGTGAATTGAACGGACTAGAGCAAATTAGGGAGTCCATTTAGGTAAGAGATTGTTACTGTAGTCTAGGTGAGATTTAATGGTTGGACTAAGATGGTAGCAATAAGGATGGTGGTAAGTAACAGTTCAAGATGAATATTGAATATAGAATTAATAGGACTTTCAGTTGATGAAAGGACTAGAGTCATGGGAGTTTCATAGATTGTGAGCAATCACAGGATTCAAGGATTAAATTTAGAATGTGAGAAAGTTGATTTTCCCTGGTAGATTTTTTCCTTTGTCAAAGTTACTGGGATTCAAGTCTGGCTCTCTGAGAATTTCTGTTTTCTTTTGTCCTGACCCCCATTCCTTTGGTGATGACCCAAGAATGATCTACACTGCCACAGCAAATCACCTTTGTCAGCAACTGTCAATACTAAGATTTGAAGGAACTGCCTAAAAATGTTTATATATAACCCATAACCCGGGCACTGTTTTTCCCATGGAATTCATTGGTCTCTTGTCAATCTTACTTTTGCAGTTTGTATAGATGTCAAGCATCCCTGTAGCAAAGTAGAGGAAATTAGCTTTATAATTGACTTGGGCTGTGCTTCCTTCTACTTTGATTATTTGATCCACGTTATTGCCAATATCTTCTTGGTATGAGAGCCTGAACCACTAGTGCAGGACCTGGTTTGAGATTCAGGACCTCAGGAGAAGACAGCCCCAAAACTGCCAGACAGGATAAGCGTAGAAAAGGAGAAAATCTCATCTATTCAGTGAGCCTGTAAATCAAAATTGGAAAACACCTGAAACGGTGTAATTAACACTAAATGAAATAATTTTTTAAAATTTCATCGCAATGTGATGTTCTCTCTCTAGTGACTGGTATGAACCCTCTGTCTCCGTATTTAAATGTGGATCCACGATATCTTGTTCAGGTAAGATTAGGACTAGTCCTTTTATGAATTTTTTAGTTTGGTGATTTATCTTACCACTTTAAAAAAAAATCCAGGTTCTTATGCTGACTAGATCTATGGTACATATTTCTGGAGGCACCAACTCTACTCTCCATTCACCCTTTTTCTTTTCTCAGAAACTCTGGGGATTTGAATTGTACCTCCCTGATGCTAATTAATTAATTCCCTTTAAAGAGTTTTTGGGGTTTGAGGTGGCTATTTTTTCTTTCCTATTTAAATTGTGAAATATTTTAGCATAAAATTTACTATCTTACCCATTTTTAAGTGTACCGTCCAGTGGTATTAACTACATTTATAATATTGTGCAACAATTACCACCTACCATATCCATAACTCATTTCATCATGTAAAACAAACTATACCCATTAAAAAATAACTTCATTCCACCCACCCATCTCACGGCAACCACCCTTCTGCTTTCTGTCTCTGGTTTTGATACTCTAATACCTCAAATAAGTAGAATCATAGTATTTGTCTTTTTGTGATTGGCTTATTTCATTTAGCATAATATTCTCAAGTTTCATCTACCTTATAGCATGTATCAGAATTTCCTTTCTTTTAAGGCTGAATAATATTTAATTGAATAATATTCCATTCTGCTTATCCATTCATCTGTCCCTGGACGCTTGGATTGCTTTCATATTTTAGTTATTGGGAATAGTGTTGCTATGAACAATAGTGTAAAATGTCTCTTCCTGAGCCTCCTTTTAATTCTTTTACTTATATTTCCAGAAGTGAAATTACTGAATCATATGGAAATTTTATTACTAATTTTCTGAGGAACTGCTATGCTGTGTTCCATAGCACTGTACCATTTTACATTCCCAAGAACTGCACAAGGCTTGCAATTTCTTCACATCCTCACCAACACTTGTTATTTTCTGGGGTTTTTTGATCATAGCTATTCTAATGGGTATGAGGTAGTGCTCCTTGGGGGTATTTATTTATTTATTTATTTATTTGACAGAGAGGGAACACAAGCAGGGGGAGTGGCAGAGGGAGAAGCAGGCTTCCTGCTGAGCAGGGAGCCCGATGTGGGGCTCGATCCCAGGACCCTGGGATCATGACCTGAGCCAAAGCAGATGCTTAACGACTGACACACCCAGGCGCCCCAACTCCTCATGGTTTTGAGTTGCATTTTCCTAATCATTAGTGATATTGAGCATCTTTTCATGTGGTTATTGCCTATTTGTATACCTTTGGAGAAACGTTTAAGTTCTTTGTCCATTTTTGAATTGGGTCTTTATTGTTGTTGTTGAATTTAAGTTTTATATATATTCTGAATATTAACCCCTTATCAGATAACATGATTTGCAAATATTTTCTCGCGATCTTTTGGTTGCCTTTTTACTATGCTGATACTGCCTTTTGAGGCACAATATTTTTAAATTTTCACAAAGGCCAGTCTTTTAATTTTTTTCTTTTGTTGCCTGTACCTTTGGTGTCAAATCTAAGAAGTCATCGCCAAATCCAATGTCATGCTTTTCTCCCATGTTTTCTTCCAAGAGTTCTATGGTTTTAGGTCTTACACTTAGATCTTAGATCCATTTAATTTTTGTATTAAGTGTTTAATTTTTTATTAGGTGTTAGATAAGGATCCAGCTTTACTTGTTCATGTGGATATCCAATTTTCAGAGCATCATTTGTTAAAAAGAGTGTCTTTTTCTTGTGGAATGATCTTGGCAGTCTTGTTCAAAATCATTTGACCATATATGTGAGGGTTTATTTCCAGGTTCTCTATTCTGTTTGTCTGTCTTTGTGTCAGTATCACACTCTTTTGATTCGAGTAGCCTTGTAGTAAGTTTTGAAATCAGGAAATGTGATTATTGTTCTTTTTCTTTTTTTTTTTTAATTTATTTGTCAGAGAGAGCACAAGGAGGGGGAGCGGCAGCAGAGCAGGCAGAGGGAGAAGCAGGCTCCCTGCAGATCAGGGGGAGCCCGATAGGGGACTCGATCCCAGGACCCTGGGATCATGACCTAAGCCAAAGGCAGACGCTTAACCAACTGAGCCACCTAGGCATCCCGATTATTGTTCTTTTTCAAGATTGTTTTGGCTGTTTGGGGTTCATTGAGATTCCATATTAATTATAGGATGGGGTTCTTTTTAAAAGATTTTATTTATTTCTTTGACACAGAGAGAGCAAAAGAGAGAGAGAGACAGAGAGCAAGCACCAGCAGGGGGAACGGCAGGGAGGGGAGAAGCAGGCTCCCCGCTGAGCAAGGATCCCCATGTGGGGCTGGATCCCAGGACCCTGGGATCATGACCCGAGCTGAAGGCAGCTGCTTAACTGACTGAGCCACCCAGGTGCCCCAGAAACATGGTATTTTGATAGGGATTTCATTGAATCTGTAGATTCTTTTGGATAGTATTGACATCTTAACAGTATTAAGTCTTCCAACCCACAGACATGGGATATGTTTCCATTTTTTCAAGTCTTTAATTGCATTTAAGAGGTTTTATGGTTTTCATTGTGTAAGACTTTTACCTCATTGGTTAAGTTCGTTCCTAAGTAGTATTCTTTTTTTATTTAAAGATTTTTTTTTTTCTTTTTTTTGACAAGGGAGGGAGAGAGAGAGAGTGCACAAGCAGGGAGAATGACAGGCAGAGGGAAACGGAGAGGGAGAAGCAGATTCCCCGCGGAGCAAGGAGCCCAGTGCACAAGGAGCCCAGTGTGGGGCTCCATCCCAGCAGGACCCTGGGATCATGACCTGAGCCAAAGGCAGACGCTTAACCAACTAAGCCACCCAGGCGCCCCTATTCTTTTTGATGCTATTATAAATGGAATTGCTTTTGTGATTTCTTTTTCAAATTGTTCATTATTAGAATGTGGAAATCCTTTTTTGTGTGTGTTGATTTTGTATCCTGCTACTTTGCTGAATTTATTAGATCTAATAAGTTTCTTTCTGCAATATGTAGGATTTTCTACATATAAGATCATTTTATCTGCAAAGAAAGAAAATTTAGCTTCTTCCTTTCCAATTTGGATACCTTTTATTTCTTCTTGCCTAATTGCTTTAGCTAGAACATGTAGTACAAGTATCCCCCGCTTTTTGAAAGTTCACATTGTTCCACTTCACTTTTATGAGAGATCTACATTATGTAGGTCTGTATATAGTACCTGTTTATGCTGAAAAAAGAAATCAGAAGAGGATTTTTGCTTTTACCGAAAAAGCAAAAATAGTGTTTAGCATTTGTTTTGCAGTGAGCTGTTATAGTGGAACCACCGAGCTCCTTCCTGGGGATCTACACTCAGCATCTCAGCATCGAGCCATTGCAGCCTTGAACTGTGTCTGTGAGCATCTGTGCTTTATCTTGATTTATTTTGTGTGTCTGATAGCAAGCTGTGTCCTAAGGTATCAGAAAGGCCTGAGAGAGGTTATCTTTGGGTCTGGGAATACTCAAAACATTTTTCCATGTAAGTTGGTGATAATTGCTTCTTTGCTTTATGACATTTTGACTTACAGGAGGTTTCATAGGGATGTTCTACTTACAGATATCAGGGGAGGCTTGTACTATGTTGAAAGAAAAGTGGCAGAAATGGGCATCCTTGCCTTTTCCTGATTGTGGAGGGAAAGCTTTTATCTTTTACCTTTTAATATAATGTTCACCAGGGCGCCTGGGTGGCTCAGTTGGTTAAGTGACTGCCTTCGGCTCAGGTCATGATCCTGGAGTCCCAGGATCGAGTCCCGCATGGGGCTCCCTGCTCAGCGGGGAGTCTGCTTCTCCCTCTGACCCTCCCCCCTCTCATGTGCTCTCTCTCTCTCTTTCTCATTCTCTCTCTTTCAAATAAATAAATAAATAAAAATCTAAAAAAATATATAATGTTCACTGTGGGTTTTTCATATATGGCTTTTATTATGTTGAGGTAGTTTCCTTCTATTCCTAGTTTGTTGAATTCTTTTTATTGTAAACGTATGTTGGATTTTGTGAAATGCTTTTTTTGCAGTAGTTGAGGTGATCATGTGGGAGGTTTTTTTCCCTTCTTTCTTTTAATGTGGTGATTTATGTTGATCAGTTTTCATATATTGGACCATCCTGCATTACATGAATAAATCCGACTTGGTCATGGTGTGTATCCTTTTAATATGTTGCTGAATTTGGTTTCCTAGTATTTTGCTGAGGATTTTGCATCAGTGTTCATAGGGATATTGGTCTGTAGTTTTCTTGTAGTGTCTTTGTCTGGCTTTGGTATGAGGGTAATCCTGGCCTTATACCAAATATTACCTCCACTTCAGTTTTTTGGAAAAGTTGGAAAAGAATTGGTGTTAGTTCTTTAAATGTTTGGTAAACTTCACCAGTGAAGTCGTTAGGTCCAGGGCTTTTCTTGGTTGTGACTTTTTTTTTTTTTTGAGAGAGAGAGAACTCGGGGTTGAGGGGGAGGGGCAGAGGGAGAAGGAGAGTGAGAATTTTAAGCAGGCTCCATGCCTAGCACAGAGCCCCAGTGAGGGCCTTGATCTCACAACCCTGAAATCATGACCTGAGCTGAAATCAAAAGTTGGACCCTTAAGCAACTGAGTCACCCAGGTGTCCCTGGTGTGACATTTTTTATTGCTGATTTCGGTCTTCTTACCAGTTCAGTTATAAGTCTATTTGGATTTTCTGTTTCTTGGTGAGTTTTATGTCTCTAGGAATTTGTCTATTTCATCAAGGTTATCCAGTTTGTTGGCATGCAGTTTTTCATAGTACTTTCTTATTTTTTCTTTTTCTATCCTTAAGTTGCAAATTAGGTTGTTTATTTGAGATCTTTCTGATATTTTTAATAAGCATTTATAGCTCTGAATTTTCCCCTTAGCACCACTTTCACTGAATCTCATAAGTTTTGATATGTTGTATTTTCTTTTTTATTCATCTCAAGTATTTTCTAATTTCCCTTTTGATTTCTTTTTTGATCTATTGGTGGTTTATGGATATATTGTTTAATTTCCATGAATTTGTGAACTTTTCATTTTATTTCTGTTACTGATTTCTAACTGGT